TAAAAAGCCTTGTTTCAGGTTCTCTGTGGGTGTTGAGTCATGTTATATCCCAGTTCAGAGAAATGTCTGCACCTTCTCTGGGGCTGTTGGTTGGCCTCTGTCTGCCTGATTCTACTGATGGTCCTAGTCATGTGATCCTGGGGCGCTGCCACTGTGTTGCGCAGGATAAAGATGGTCTGCCTGCCCTCTCCAGTCATGGCTTATCCACACCCAAGTGGGTGGAGTCTTGGAGGAGGGTGAGAGGGTGTTTTCCGGGAGGGTGTGATGTGTGTGGGGTGTGGGTGTGTGTCAAGGGAGGAGAAAAGGAGATCATCACGGAGCTTGTGAAAACGACGGACCTGCTGGTGAGGACGGGAATAAGGGAGCTGTGTTGACTGTGATTGCTGCAGGAGGTGGTGGGGGAGAAACCTCTCGTTATTGTCCAATCAGAGAGGTTGTCGGGGTACCGGCTGGGGGAACTGGGGTCCCTGGAGGAAGTGGGTGTGGCCCCAGTGGTGGATTACCTCACCACTAACACGTGTCTCCTCCGAGTGCCTTCCTCTCTCCCAGCAATTGCTGATCCTCGGCAGACAACCCAAGGTTTGTGCAGTCATCAGGGACCAAAGAATTACACTGCATTTCTCCAGACCAGCTCCTTGGACAATTACCAAGCAATGTTCCAGCCTTCCTCCTTCCCTCCCTCTCTTTCCTCCTCCCTCATCCCTCTCACAACATCAAATATTCTCACCAAACTCTCCGCGATGTCCTCCAGTCTTCCTCTGTTGGTCAGGTGAGGGACTCTGTCACACATGTAGTTTGTGAATGTGATGTGTCAACATTCATTTTCCATGTCCAGGACCCATTCCTAAGAGTGGAGTTACTGGAAGTCCCTGAGGAATGTGCCAATCCTCTTACTCTCTCGATCTCTAGCCCTCTGACTGGCTCGCAGGCGGAGCTACACATACCAATTGATAACCTGACCCTCCTGCACCTTGACTTCCCCCTGGAGGAAGTGGGTGTGGTCTTGTGGACAGCTGTAAAGAAGCAGTTTGAAGCCGTGACAACTGCCATGCTGTGGAAGGTGAGGCTCCTCTCTCACAGAGGTGTTTGTGAGGTGTTGGTGTTCCTCTCCAGCCCGACTGTCTGCACAATGTGGCAATCCACCACTTCCCTCCCTCCTCCCCCCACCTCTGTCCCCTCTCCGTTCCCTACCCCCACAGCTCCGTGGCGCAGCCTGACCATCTTCTGGATGGTGAGGTCTAACGTTAGGTCTGAAGGTCTCCCTCCACCACTCTCCTCACAGACACTGCACTGGCTGCTGTTCGCAGAGACTGGCACGCGGCTCTAGCATTCTCCTCTGGCCTCCCAAGACTAAGACTCACAAACACACACTGTTTCTCCCCTCCCCGTGTCCTCGGTGAGTCTGCGAACAGCTGTCTGACTTACGTGGCTCCATTCCATTCCACTCAGGCCCACAGCTCTTCTCTCCACATTCCACACTCTCATATTCCCCTCAAGGAACAGTTGCTATGGTGACAGGCCAGTATACCTACTACCACTACCAACAGGACAACTTCAATGACTCAGTATGTTCACCCACACCGATGATGTCGTGTGACATAATCAACCCTCCCTCATAGGGATGGGGATGTGCGTACAGATCTCTGCAGACCCTCTGGTCTTGGTTCAACTTGCAAGGCTTCACCACTGAGACTCCGCCCACCCACCGTCAGATACAAGAGGCTCTTGTCGCTACGGGAGACAAGCCAGCTAAGTTTGTGGGCAGCAGGGAGTGGATCGGTTCGTTTGAAGTCAGCACAGCTCTCAACCACCTCCTTGGGGTAACACTATTCCGTGGAGCACTCCACTCCAGGATTTACTCCACTATATATAGGTGGAGTGTAGAATCCACTATGTGAGCAGTGGGAGTGAGATGAGTGGGGTGGGCAGACTGCTCCTCCATCACTTCACCAACGAGATGACTCCTGTCATGATTGGCGGTGGAGTCCTTGCCCACACCATCCTGGGAGTTGACTACAATACCAGTACTGGGAACATCAGGTAACCCCTCCCCTCATCCAGTCCCATACCCATTCCAGTCTGGTCAGGTTCCTGATCCTGGATCCACACTACACTGGCCGTGAGGACCTCAAGACCATTCACAACAAGGTCAGAGTTAATTCATTTTCCACGTTACACTGAATTACATTGTGCCGCACAGGGTTGGTGTGGTTGGAAGCCAGTAAGCTTCTGGGACAAGAAGGTACATCATTATTGTACACAAGACTCAACTACCCATTGAATGATGCTTACTGCAGGCCCACTACAACATGTGTCTGCCATTGAGACCAAGAGAACTCTAGCAGTTTGCTCTGACTAGTGATTCAGTGTTGTGTTGTGTGCGATATAAATATGTACACGAAAGCAAAATCATTTTGATGACGTCATACGTTCATCCAGCTCTCCTCTACAATGGCCAGTACTTTCTTCTCATACTCTCTTCTGTTTTCCTGGTACAGCTGGGCTGCCTGGCTGTTGGCGGGACTGTTTGGGTTCGGCTCATCCAACAGACTCTGTAGTCACATGACATGTCACATGACCTGCTGTGTCATATAGCTGCTGACCATACGTACCTGAATTGATGTTAGTATTGAGGATACATCGTATGTAGGGCTCCAGCGATTCTGCAGTATGTCTAGACATATACTACCATCTGCATACACTGAGGAAGAGAGTGAAGGGAGAGTATGAGGTTCAGGGACCAGGCCAGGCTCACCATTGGGGTGGAACATTTTTGACACAAATCGAACCACTGGTGGTTTGTTAGGGTACTCTTCTGAGAACTGAATTGTAAGTTTGAAAGTGCCGTCTTCAAAAGGAGTGTCTTTTGGTCTGTGGAAGGGTCCACGCTCACTGTACAGCTCAACAGACCTGTCTATATGTAGCTTACCCAAATATAACGGCGTTCCAGAGCATAATGTTGTTGTCAGTTGGAGCGCCGCTCACTCCGGCTGGCGGGTCGTCTTGTAGCCTACGAGAACGAGAAAATTGAAGCCTATCTCTCTCACTCCCTCACTTACCGTTTGAAATCCCTCATCAGCCGCCTTCTCGCCGGAGTAGACATGACGCTTTGGCACCTCAAAACACAACCCCCCGCTCGCTCTACTAAAACGCTAAGCTCACCATCATCGCATCACAAAATTTCTAAGTGTGACGTCATCAAACTTGCGCTTAGCTTTACGCGCTCATGGGCGGTTAAAGCAGCTATAAAACAAAAACGGCGTGCCGTAAGCAATGTGCATGAAGAGGAGGAATGGATGCATCAAGGACTCCGCCGCTACAGCAGCCAAAAACGTCCTCAAGGTAAGCTGTTGTTGGGTGGTGAGACTTGTTTCACGTATAGACTGCGCACGACGGTAGAGTCCTCCAACCACCAGGAGGGAGCAGTTCCATATTTCTGGGAGAAGACCAACCCACAGAGGAGGCCAGCAGCCAGCAGCCAGTTCCCTCCAAAGAAGCCTCTCCTGCTGGAGAAGACAAACCATGCCATAAGGGACAACGAGCATCATCTCGCGCTCTCCACCCTCCTGGAGGACACTCCAGCATATCTTTTGGCTGGAACTAGTCACAGACTAACAATTTGGCTGCTCAATTATCATCATTTCTGTGATTACTGATCGAATGTCCAGAATGAGCCATGAAAACACTGGTTTAGTATTATAATAATAATTATTATTATTGTCAATGTTCACTGACAGTAGAGCTCATCTCCTGGAGACCAAGAGTATACTGCTGTTTCATCAGCTTCAGCGGCTCAAGCTTTTCTCTGTGTTGTCTCTGTAAATAAGGACACACAGGGAGAGGTTGGACACATGATTAGCCAAATGAAAGTCAGCCAACAGTCACGCAATAGCTCGGGAAACTTGCCAGTTGTTCCCTCAGACTCTCCTGGTTCCCGTGACCAGCACTCAGTTCAGTCTGAAGACTGGATATGAGATCCTCCACTCTCACAACCTCACTCTCCAGTTCAGCAATCTAGTCATGTAACCTCACCTTCACACCACATGACAGTCTTCTGATTTTACCTTGCTCTGTATGGCAGCTGGTCTCTCTGGCTCCGGGAGATGAGAAAACATTCTCCAGGCCAACAACTGCAGGAACACAATGGTACAAGCAACGCAGACATCAATCTGACTGCACACTGCCGTTTTCATCAGTAGTGAATAATAGCACAACACTGGATACTGAACATCAGACAATTGTAGATGGAATGCTCAGGAGATGTGTACATGATAAAGGGCCTTGTTGTCCAATGTTCACACTTGTCCACATTGTGAGAGGACTTACCTCAGCCAATGCCTGCTCACTCTCATCCTCACTTTCTGGAGCAGAGGATGGCTGCAGCAGGGAGGGAGAGAGATGTGATTAACACAGGACAACAAGAGCACGCACCTCATCAGAGGAACTATTGCTGCTCTCCCTCTCCTCTTCATCTGGCTCTACCGCTGTTGTCCATGACACCTCATTCACGTCCACTTCTTCTTGTTCATCCTCCCCTTCCTCCTCTCCCTCATTCCCTCCCTCTCTCTCTACTCGGATAAAATCATCCTCAGTAGTTGGAACGGTCACAAATCCCTCATCTACAAAGGCAGCATTTGGAATGATACCGAACAGTAACAAGTTCTCTTCACCTGAATTCTGCTGTTCCAGCCCGCGATGTTCCCTACCTTCCTCCCCTCTCAAATCTCCGTAAATCTGGAAACCTCTTGACTCAGTCATCGGAAGGGCTGGCTGGACGACAGACCTGCAGAGAAACTGGCTAACTGTTTCCCCACTGGAACACCCTCACCAGCAGGGCAGGCGTTGGTGGGCTAGAGGAAGACATTTCTTGTGGCACTGCACCCCACATTGAGTGCACACCATTACCCGTCCCTTCAGAGCCCAAATCTATGTATTATGCACCAAATGGACCCTAAAATCAAGAATTTCTCAAAAATACTATTCAACCTCACTCTTTTTGTGCAGATGTTGCATTTCTGAGTGCCTTCCATTTCTTTGGCATTGAACTGATGCTGCAGTTCAACAGCCTCCTCCTCCTCCTCCTCCTCCTCCTCTACCTACAACTCTTTCTCTCTTCATGTTCATAACAATGATAAACTGCACTAACTGGACTGTCACATGTCTCCACTCCATCATCTCCCTCCTCCTCGTCCTCCTCATTTCTGAACTTGTGTTGCAGAGTAGAGTACCTGAACCTCAGGAGAAGCGACCCAACAAACTTTTTGTCTTCTTCTTGCTTTTTCTCCTCCCTTCCCTTCCCTCTCCCCCTTTCTCCCCTCCTCCCCTCCGACGCCTGAATCGCTGCACGACTGAAAGAAATTGGAAAAAGACAAAGGTAAGGTGAGAGATAGGGGACAAGACAAAAGGTAGGCAAGATGGGGGGGCGCGTAAAAAAAAGACTATTAGGAGCAAGATGAGGGAGAGGGCACACACGTGGCACGAGATGGGGGTAAGGACACGAACGTGTGGAGCGGAAGTGGAAGAGAATTAAAATGTAGAAGGAGGAGAAGACGAAGGGTAGAAGAACGAAAGCGGAATAGATAGGGGAAAGACAGTAGGAGGGAGGTAAAGGGGACCTTGAGGTGGCACGGTAGGGTTGAGGAGCCAGGAGAACATACTTCTGATGATGTCTGCCAGAGGAGGAGACCAGACACTCTAGAGCCACATCCATCAGTGGGACTGTAACCTGCACAGAGAGGTAGTGGGGATGATCCTGTATCATGGAGAAACTTGCAGATGTGTCCATAACTATGAAGTGCCATTAAACACAATCCAATTTCAAACATGGAAGTTCCTGTTTTGGTAAAGTTACCCTCCATAGGGACTCACATGTCCAACAAGCAGTTCTCTCCTGCCTTCACTGGTACCCAGTCTGTCATACACACACAGGTTGAGGTAGCGGTGGTGAGGAAGCACGTTCAAACAGAACTTATTCCGTGACCAGTGAGAACCTCGTGGAACTTCGTCCGTCTGTCTCACAACTGCTTCCTCCTCATCAACATTCCTTGTATCCCTTGGCAACACTTCTGCCTTAGCATCCAGGGAGTGTGCAGTTGTCCTCTGACCTGCATGGTATAATGTTGGCTCGAGAAAAGGCCAGGGTTGCCAACATCTCTATTCAGCTGGAATTACAAGGCAGTAGAATAAGGTACAGCATTGGCCTCTCCGTAAAAGGCTTTACTTGGGCCCAAACACTCTGTGCAGCTAAGCCAGTCGTAGCTAGAGCAAGTCTGTCATTCAGTATCAATAGGTAAGCCATTAGAGCTTTCACATCATATTATGTCTGTGGCCACTAGTTGTATTGTATTCAGTGATTGAACACCCCCAAGGAATGGCAGGAGTAAGACTAGCCACTGTGGCTGATCTGCAACTCAGTAATGGAACATGGAAACTATCCACACTAGCTGTGGGCATGGCTAGCACCAAGAGAGACCTCGAGGCCAAATGTCCAGTGCCAATGTCCGTCTCCCCTACAATGGCCACCATCTGGGCTACAATTATCGGAATTACCATCTTAAAACAGGTATACAGTGAAATGTCTTAATAAGGATCCTACGAATAGCCGACTCCACACACACCCACAGGTGAGAGGGTACGAACTGAGGGTGACTAGAGCCCAGCGATGGCTCAAAACTTGCTCCCTCCCTGACACCGTTGCCATTGATGACCTGTACGGTGCAGCCGAGGAGCTCTTGTGACTCACCAGAGGACAAACCTCTCTCTCCTCCCACTCCCCGCAGACTGATGGAGTCCCCATCTTCCCTCGTCACACTCTCTTCTCCCTCCACATCACTGCTCACACCTGCACAGAGACCACACCCATAGTTGGAGTCACACCATACAACCACATAGCAACTACATGTACATAAATTGTTGAGAGGAGCTACATCAACAAAGCTCTAGGGGACATTGCTAGCTTCACCATGTTTGGTATAAAAAATTTCTTGCCAGAGTAAGAATATCATGTCACAATAGGTCGTTTGTGTACACACATTAAAAGATGATGTCGTGCCTGAGGGAGTTCTTTGTGAGGTGGGTGTGGCTCTGTGGGCGTTGCCAGACTGGAGCATGTGACTGGAAATGTGTTTCGGCGGTCTCTTGACAGTCAGTAGGATGCTAGTGGAGAAATGGGAGAGAGAGGTAACAGCCGTCTATAAAGATATACAACAAGCGTTTCTGAGTCTGCCAGGAAAATGACCTTCAAAATTTGTTGCGAAAAGAAATTGTAGACTGAAAATGTGAGGACATGTACTGAAATCACCCTAACCTTAGTTGTAGCTCACCTGCCATGTTTGGTCTTGTTAATAGTCTTCTGTACCTGAGTTACTGAATGAACCTTCACATTGTTCACCCTCACAATGATATCACCCTGAATTAGGTAATGATTACATCATAGGAGAAAGAACAGTAACAGACCTCTCGGACACCAGAAGAGGCAGCTAACGAGCCTCCCACCACCTCAAAGATGACGACGAACTCACTTCCTCTCTCCTCCTTCCCATCCCACACCACCTAGTATGAACACACCCACCATCACCAGTAGTCAATAGATTAGTATGTCAGGGACAAGAGATGTTCATGTCTCACCAGACGATAGCGAATACCCAGCGAGTCATGCAGACGAAATCTGAACTCGTGCTCCGCCCATCTGCTGCGCCACACTCCTAGCAACGGCTGCCATGGTAACGATGCTGAAATGAGTGAAAACTAGATCATAATTATTATAACTAAGAACGGTATATACTTAGTATATAGGGATGGGCATGGTACCTAGCATCATAGATGTATGGGGCTATGATAGGGAGTTTTGTTCATCTTCTTCTCTTCTTCTTCTTCAGATTCAACAATGAAACAACATATAGTAATGAAATTCGAAGAGACTGGTCATAAACAACATTGTTTACTGTAAACAACAACAAATAGCCCCAGGCAATACATTATAATGGGATCACATGTGTCAGTGTAAGTCACAATTGGTTGACTCACAAGTGTTGAGGGTACAAAAGGTGGCCACTGCAGATGGAGAATGGAGCAATCGGGAAACCTTTACTATCTCCACATACAACCGACCAACTGTCAGCTTCTGGTTGTGCACATACAGCTGCACACAGAGAAAGAGAACAAGTGAGTAAAGTGGAGGAGGAGAGTCACACACCTCATCAAGCTGGCTCTGTGGCTTAGGTTTGGAGAAAAACGGCTTGTACCTACAGTGGAGGTCACATATTCGAATGTACAGTTGAGGTCACATGAATGCAAAGAAGAGCCACTGCTTACAGACCTCGTCTTGTGTGCTGGGAGAGTGTGTTTCTGTCTCACCCATCTCCTCAGCTGCCCCTCCATGAACAAACTGAGTTGAGGGAAACTCCGCCCCTCAAACGTAGATTCCACAACAATGTCCAACTCTGGATCCTAAAACCTTACGTAATTATTACATCACCTGTATTCTGAGGGGTGGGGACTTGCCTCACAGAAGGAAAAGGACCAGTGGGTATGTGGTTCCGTGGCAAACTGGAGCTGACCGCAACCTTTCACCTTCACAACATGGATGGCTACATATGCCACTCTATTGAATATCTATTGCCATTACATCATAATGACATCACTCCGTGCACTGGTCAACATGACTCACTAGATCAGCATCGATCCCAATCCTACATCCTCCAGAGTATTCCACATTCACTCCAAGACATAGATCCTGTTCAGAAAAATATGCATAATGTAAGTGGGTGTGGTTTTACTTACTTCCAGTTCATCGGTATCGTTGTTCAACTTCTTCTTCAGCACCACTGCACAGAGGGAGAGTGGTCGGCTAACAATTTCCCATGAAAGACATTTCCACAAATTTAGTTGAAAACAACCAAGACAATCCTACCTACATTACTGAAGGTGGGCAGTGAAGTGCCCAAGTCATAGTCTCTAACAGTCAGCTGTTCCAACATGCGACCTTCTTTCTTGGTGAACATTAGCTCATTGAATTCTTTGTTCACCTTCCTCAGAATCAAACTGAACAGAAATTAGTCAGTCGTAAAGAAAAGTGACGTCGCTGGTTGCACACTAACCCCTTGACCTCTGCGGTGTCTCGCAGCTCCTGAAATAGGAATGACGTCACCAGATTGAACCACCTGCACGACTCTTCCTCACCCCCAACACCCATTACGTCACTTGGAAACTAAAGCATTGACGTATAAATATACGTATTATGTAAAGTCAGCTCATCAGAAGTACCTGAGGCAACTTGAAGGGAGATATTGCCCACGCCTTCTCTCTCTTCCCCACTGCAGTAGTGTAGAGCCATGCCGAGGCCGCCAGGAGCAGGGAAAACAAGCCTCCAAGAACGAACGCTAACACCAGCGCCGCCAACATTTTTGGGTCGAAAGTGCGCATGCGTATTAGAAGTGGGTTGGGCTGGTGAAATAGGCGTGGCTGACGAGCCCTCCGGCGCGCGCGGGAAAGGAGACGGGTTTCGAACTAACACCCGAGGCAGATCAGCGATGCTTCCACCATTCTGAGGAGCCTGAAACGTGCAGACAGCAGTGACTATGACGGACGTGATCGGAACGCTGAACACCGCTAGTCTGGAGAACACAGGCCAACAGAGGAGCTCGGGGAAACGCTCCAGAAACTGTTTACACCAGAACGACGGTTCTGCAGTCAAGCGAAGGGCTCTGGCCTGCCTTTCCAACCATGTGGACTCTCTGGCAGATCGACAGCAGCTCAAGAACACAGCAGTCAGCTACCAGCCTTATTGTTTGCCTCACACCTTTCACAATGTGACACCTTCACAGACAACACAGAGTGGAAGAACAGCAAGTTCTGTGTTTGACTTGCCTCCTCCAACAACCATCACCTCTCTCTCCTCGTCCTTTCACTTTGAATCTCCTGGTTAGTCTTTTCAACTCCTACCACCATAATTATGTGTCACTACCTATCATTGATTTGTGTTGGGTGCAGGAGATGTGGCCAGCCCAATGCTGCTCTCAACTCCATCTCTGACCTGTTCAGAGACCATCAGCCAACCTGACAATGACTCCCAGTCTTACCCTCAGGACTACACCACTGAAATATTTACCTACCTCCGAGAAGCAGAGGTTTGTACCTTTTTTCTTCACGACAATGATGATCATCACCATAATTGGCAGGTGCGGTGGCAACCACAGATAGGCTACATGCAGAAGCAGACAGACATCACACTAGGAATGCGGTCGGTCCTGGTGGACTGGCTGGTGGAGGTAGGAGACGAGTTCAGTCTCCAAACCAGCACACTCTACCAGGCGGTGGGTCTGGTGGATCGGTTCCTCTCCCTCATGTCTGTCCTACGAGGGAAACTGCAGCTAGTTGGGGCCACTGCCATGTACGTGGCTGCCAAGTTGGAAGAGATTTACCCTCCAGAGCTGGCTGACTTTGCCTACATCACTGACAATACCTACTCCCAGAAACAGGTGGACATTTTTTTGTGATTCCCTATACTGTTGTGCATGGCTCCTTGGTTATCTGTGTAACTGAAACCTTGTATGCAGATTGTTCAAATGGAGAAGCTGATGTTGCAGTCACTGGACTACCATCTTATTGCTCCCTCGTCCACCTCCTTCCTCCACCACTACCTTGACATTGGAACCCAGCAGTCACACAGCTCTGCAAACCTCCAAACTTCAGTACAACACTTGGCGCAGGTGAGGGTAAACCCCTATTATTATCATGTTGTCAAGGAAACTTTCCATCCCCTGCAGTACCTATGCGAGATGGCTCTGGTACACTCTGACCCTTTCCTGAAATACCTGCCGTCGGAGGTGGCAGCAGCATCTGTCTGTCTCTCCAGACACACTCTGGACCAGCAGCCTGCCTGGGTATGTAGGACACCCTTCCCTGAAGTGTTTGTGTTTGAGAAAGTGTGGAAACTGTTGTTCTACCCTCTCTTCTTGTTCCACAGTCCGATTCATTCCAACAGTGTACTGGATACTCGGTCAGTGATTTCGGCCACTGTCTTCAGGACATGCATCGAATGTTTGCCATGGCATCCCAGCAGCCTCAGCAGGCAGTACGACTCAAGTACTGCTCTGAGAGGTGAGTCTCTCTCTCTGTGTGTGTTATTTTAGTGGTCTAGCTGTGTTCTGTTGCCAGGTTCTCAAGAGTGGCTCTTCTTGCAATACCTGAGACCCTTCCAATGTAGAGTCCGCCGAGTTTCTTTATACCACAATTGTTATTTTGTGCATTTTTGAAGTAATGTATTTAATTTTTATGCTCCTCTCTTTTTGTGTTTCAGTATATACGCAATATCATCGCGCGCGCGCGCGCGTCCTACGCCACGTTGATATCCACGTGATAGAAATCTTGTCAACAGCATCTCCGATCCCAGCAGCCAGTTCAGACGGATTTCGCTCTTGTCGGTCTTCTGTGAGGAGGTAATTGCTCTGCCTATCAGCTCTCACCTTTCCCTCAGTCTGTGGGGGTGTTTGCAGGAAAGGTAGCGCAATGGGAGACAAGCCTGACGTGTCTGAAGTCACCTGCTTTGACAAGACGAAGCTGAAGCCGACAGAGACTCAGGAGAAGAACACGCTCCCTACGAAGGAGAGTGAGTGACCTCTGACTCACGGTACCCGTGCCTTACTACATCTGGTTGTGTTTCTCTTTCTCTACAGTTATCGAGCAGGAAAAGACTACGTGATCACTGAGAACTTGGGACTCATTTCACTTTTGATGTAGAGCAGCAATGAAAAACTAGCTAGCTTTGTTTCTCGCAGGTTTTTTTTCATGAAAATCATTCATGTACTGGTGAGTGGTTTTTGATCCACTGGCTGATGTGCTGCTCCTCCAGCTTGCGAGCGGCTAGAACGTCTGAAGGGTCGTCGGGTGTCGCGGACCGCAAGTCCAAATGGTGGGCTCCATCATGAATTACCACTGCAACCAGAGAGGAGGAGATGGATTCCAGAACTCCGCCCCCAGACCAGGGATCAAGGTGCCCATTGCTGCAAAAGGGAAGAGAGGTAGCCAGCTCAGATTAATCTGCCTGGAGTACTTATACCTGAACACAATATTGGAGATGGCGGAGATGTTCTTTCCCCCATACTCCATCTCCACCAAGTACTCCTGTGGAGTAACTCCAAATTGCAAGTAGCAGTTTTCACTGTAGGCAGCAAAGTCCCACTGCACAAAGAAAACCATTCCCACTATGATCTGTGGTGCTCTTCTTGTCAACTCACTGGCATTGCGAGAAACATGTTGTGGGGGCCAGGTTCAGAGCACATTGGCATCACCATCTCCGTACAGGCCTGTACACATTAGTCACAAAGAACGCAGCAAGTGAAGCTGGGAGCTGACCTGAAAATCCCACCCCCTCTCCCCGAGACTAGAGGTAGCATCCTGCGATGTGTTGAAGCATGCAGCACTGCCTGTGGAGTTGTAGTAGACTTGTAGGGAGAGGGCCAGAGCAGTCAGCAGCTGGGGGGTCCTAGGATGACGATGACTGAGGAAGATGAGTGAGGTCTTACCTCTTGATCCTCAGTGATCTTGGTGGCCAAGGCTTCGCAGGTTTTCTGCAAGTGTGACTTGTATATTCACTCATATTGTTGACAACAGGACACCTCACATTGATAGGCCAGGCAGGGAGGGGAGCCAGGAAATTTGCTGGGTAAGGATAGTCCACTGTGGGAGAGAGGAAAGGAACATCTGGTTACATGTATTGAGGCATTGTTGAGTCTCCGTACCCATTGCCAGGTTGAAGAATGTGTCCATTATCCATGACTTGAAACTATCCACAGAGGTAGGGGTCAGAGGAGAGCAGAGTTTGAAGGTAGTTCTGATCCAGTCCAGGTCTAAATGAATACAGAGCATTGTGCAGATGAGGATATACACCTTGGACAACTCCTTTTTCCCCAAGGAAAAACAGTTGCCCCAGGTGAGATTCGAACCCAGGACACCCTGTATTCTGGGCACTTACTCAGCATGTATGAGTATGTATGTGTACGTACCACTCTTTGCAACTCTGTCGATAGCAGCCCAGGACCTTGCAATGTTGTCACTACAGTTGGGGTTGACTGATGAGAAGTCTCTGGTGATGGTGAGGTAAGCACTCTGTTAAGAGAGGGCGGGTGGAGGTAAGTCACTGTGAGAATAGAGAGATGACATACGTCACAAGGAGTAAGTCCCTGGAACCACCAGATGGGTGCTGAGGCTGCAATAGAACTGAGAAAGGACACTCAATAAGAGTAATATGTTCCATAGAACACATGCTTACCCCTGTACTATGGCTGGGTACTTCATTCTGAACCATGCAGCTAGCATCCCTAACAAAAACGACAGAGTATTATACTCCACCAGAAGAAGAACAGAATACTGACCTCCGTAGGACCCTCCAAAAGCAATGAGAGGACTTGAGGGGGTCTTGTATATGGAATTCTGAGGATTGAGAATGGTGGAGAGGTTTGGTGCATGAGGTGAAGTGGTAGCTCACTCTCAGAGCAGTAGCCAGCACAGCAAAGTCTGCCAGCGCCTGTTCTGATGTGAGGTACGAAAGATGAGCTGCGTCTTTGTATGAATCATTGCCAAATGGCAAGGATTCTCCATAGTAACGATGCTCGGCAAACACCACCATGGCTCCATAGCGTGGAGCTATATCCCACACAAACCCCTAGCAATGAAACAAGGCAGTCAAATGTTATAGTTCTGCAGGTATCACAACTGACTGTGTTGTTGCAGAACCACGTGATGTCGCCCTCGTTTCCAGTGTAGAAGAAGATAGGTCCTCCGCTCTTCCACCACTGCCTGTTCACTAGGTAACGCTGCTGGAAGCTCCGAGACTCGGCGGCGACGAAATGGTCCAGCTGCAGTTAGTTACACAAGCAGCGGTACAAGCCCCTCCTCCACAGCTAGCTACATAGCTCTCACTATCTGGGGGAAGTATGCCGTCTCGTAGGAGTAGGCACTAGCTGCTCCCGCTTCTGGACGTCCTGACAGTAGACCCAACAGAGATCGACGTCGAGAACCAACTGCTTCAGTTCCCGGAGACCAGGCACTCAGTAACAGCAACAGAACTGCCGCTACTCCCAACGCCATCATGGAACGCTCTGCAATCACATGACGTCTACGTTTGCTCATGAAACGATTTTGATTGCTACATAATGATATAGACCAGAAGGAATTCAGCAAGCCCTACTCATCCATTGACTGCAGTTGGATACCCAAAGTCACTATCTCTTCTTCCTTGAACCAGAGACTGATCTCCCTCCCTGCAGCCTCAACACCATCACTACCATGACAGACTGTTCTGTGGGACGAAAGAGGGTAGCAAATGAAATGTGCACCAGTCCCTCCTCACCGTTTGATGTCAATACACGCTCCACGGATTGTGCCGGGAGGACAGTTTATCTGGGGGTAGGCAGGGAATGAAAGAACACCATTAGAATTGGGAATCTTACGGGATCAGTTTCTCCCAACATTTGGCGACCAGTACACACTGCATTTAGTCCCTCCCATACCTGCAGCGACACAGTCAAACAAGTCTATGGTTCACACTGAGCAAGTCACCATAGCAGCCACAGGTCCTGATGACATTAACTTGCACAGACCATCGTAGAAATCTTTGGAAATGTGGTCCCTGTAGTGCTCCTGCACCAGCTCCGTAGATGGCTGGCAAATGAGGCTGACACTATTTTAGCTAGCTAACATCCAAAACAAGTCTCACTTTCAGAAACTTGAGAGCCACCAACTTGTATCCCTTCTGCTCGAAGCGTTTTATGATTTCTCCAACCAGTCCTCGCTGAACACCGTCCACCTTTACCATTATGAACGTCCTCTCTGTCTTGCCCGACATCTGTTCCGTGTTCAGTCAGCCCCTCCCCCGAGGGGGCGCCAAAACGCATGCGCATTACAAACTTGCGTTGGTCCATTATTCACAGACCAAGTTTTCAACCAGCCACTGACTCAATGAAAAGCACTAAAGTGCAAACCCTCGGCACACTCTATAGAAATGTGGAACAAGTGCACCATTTCCATGGATTATTTTCAAAAAAATGCCCAGCCCTATTTCTGTTTTGAGGCCAAAAAATATATAAGGTTGAAAAATTGCCAACTCTCTAATTACCCGTGGATTGTTTAGTGCAAAAAAAAAATTTTTAAACCCTAAGTTGAAAAAATACGGCCAGCCCTTCATCTCTCTACGGACGCAGTGCTATGCCGAACTGTACGCTACCCTTTGAGAAACATGGGTCAGTGGTAGATTTGTGGGTAAGGGGAGGTACCAGAGCTGTTCCCAGCCAATGCTCTGGACCATCTGACATTTAGTGCGGGATCGGGATACGAACCCGGCACCTATGTGTCAGTCCCCACGACTCTAACCACCTCGCCACTCCGGCTGGCCTTGAGAGGTAATGACTTCCATATTTTTAAACCCACACTCCTATTACATCATTTAGGCGTACACACCCGGGATCGAACCAGGGACCTCACGATCAAGAGAGGGTGGTGCTTATCCATCAGACCAGCCCACCCTATTACTTGAATGTAAACAGTGCATAACTTATTGATAAGTACTTGTGCAAACTATCTCGGCGAACTGCGCATATGTCGGCTGTGGACCTCTAATTGATGGTGCTGGTGGTGCACTATTTAGTCTGTGTGTCGGTGTACCCGCTGATCTCCCGCTATATTGTATGGCTCGCCATGGAGAGTCTAGACAGGCTAGCTACTAGATAGTAGGTAGGCATGCGGAGTCGAACTATAAACGCGCCTTCGTTGCTGACAATGTCCAAACAATTTGAATGCATCCAAGGTATTGACAGACAGAGCAATGCGACTACCGGTCAGAGGTGGTAAGCCGTGTGCGTATGATGAAGCATATGTTGGCTGTTCACTGGTTTTCAGCCATAACTTCTTGAATAACGGGCACTTGTGTTACAACAATCGGCATTTTAGAAGAAATGAAGTGGTCAGGTGTAGCGCTTTGAACTCCGTTGGTGTCGCTACTATTTACCTGTTGTCGCGCGTGTGTGGGTGGCAGATAAACGTGGACGGACGAACCATACAGACGCTCAGACTAGACGGGAAACAAGTACTGTTAATCGCTGCGCATGCGCCGCCGCCGATGGGCGCCGAGGGTTAATAAAAACATAAAAAAATCTGGATCATGACTTTTGATTTCCTAACTTAGAGGTCATAGTCATGAGTGACAGCGTCATGTTTCTACTCATAGGATCCATTTGTACTGGAGGTTTGAGCCCAGGAACCTAGCTCTTTCCTCCTTGAATACCAGACGCACTTATCTCTTTCTTGAGTACACTCTCCACATGCTATCACTGCCATGACAGGATATTTAATAAAAGGACGAGAGCAGTTGGTGTATGAGTCGAGACATAATTGTCCTCACTGGTCCCAATGTTTGGATTACATAGTCCGCCCACGTGAACTGGTTTTGCCTGGATGCAGATTTTTTGTGCTGCAGAGAGTGCTAGGGTGTGGCGTTGGAGTATTAAGAGATGCTACAGTACATACCGGAGATTATACGTCTACCGGGTCAGTTTTCTTCTCCCAGCATATACGACCACGCGGCCCACTTGCATTCATACCCTCCCATACCTGCAGGTGGCCATCGCAGGGTTAGTGCACATCACACAAGGATTAGAAGTGATGGTCATGCCAGGCAGCCCTACAGGCCTGAAGGACATGAACTTGCACATGATAATCGTAGGCGAAACCTTTGCGGGAGATGAGGTCCTGGTAGTGACTGCTGTTACAATGATGGTCCAGAGAGGGGCAGCGAGCAAAGGTTGTATGGATACCACAGTTCACTAGTTAGATATTCATATAACATTGAGAAACTTGAGAGCCACCAATCTTGTATCCTTGACCTCGAAACGTTTTATTGATTCTCAACCAGTCTCTCACGATGAACACCTGCAATCCTTTACCATTATGTACGTCCCTCTCTGTATTGTCTGACCTTCTGACATCTTGGAATATTTTATGACACGCATTCCCCCTCGCGAAAAACACGTGTGGTCTTGAGCAGGCTAGGCGCAGCTCTGCGTCTGTGTGGGTTGTTGCCTATGATCGCTCTATGATCTGTATGCTAAGTAGCCATATATAAGTGGAAAGTTTAAAATATAAGCGCGTTTGAAAGGTAAGATTTGCAGCGGTGGAAGTTTCTCTCCTGTCTGGTGAAGTTCCGTTCATTTGGCGAACTGGACTCAGCGCCTTAAAGCAGGTCTTCTGGACTGTTCTAGAATGCCCAAAATGGACCTGTGAGACAGTCTCCATGTGCGTACCCAATATTTTTTATCTCCTTCCATTTCAGGTTTTCGCTACCTATTAGAACCGAATGGTCAGTGTTTGGGCTGTGTGGATCATTCGTGAGAATCGCTTATTCTTTTCCTTCAATAGCTGATGCAGTGGCACAATGGCAAGAGACGATCGCTTCGTTTCCTACTCCTTCTGTGACCTTCCTCGTGGTGAGCATTCGTGTCCAACAGGCCTGACACCACACACTTCTGCTTGCCTGCCACGCCCCCAGTGACATGCACTGTGATGCAGTCATTGTGGATGGCCAGAGAGAATGGGGCTTATATCCAGCTCTTCTCTGGGCAGTACTGTAGCTGACGGTCTATCTGCATTGCTGCCTGATCTGTTTGCAAACAGGAATGTGGTAAAATGCCCGACGATCATGGTCTTCTCTCTCTCATAGTTTCTCCAACAGGCTTTGTGGAATTATGCATCTGAGGAAGCCACAGGGGCCAAGGCAGTGGAAAGTGGAGTGTCTATCTTGTTCGATGTTCATTCAATCCCTTTTTTCCTGCTTGGTGCTGCTGTGTGTATGGTAGTCCAGTTGGTTGTGCATTGGCCACGTGAGTCCTCTCACCATACTTGATCTCTCTCCCTTGTACTTTCCCTCTCTCTTCTCCCAGTGATAGCCAGGGCCAAACATAGGGAGTCCGGCATGAGTGGCCAATCCCCTCTGGTCTGCGGATTTCTCTACTTATTGACATAACTCAATCTTCCTCGGATATACAGGTACAGTAAAACAGGATCCAGTTTTCAGTGTTTTCCACCTATTGTAGTTTACTACCGACCCATCTTCCTATTATCATATAACAGCTTCTCCCATCTAGTGACAACACGATGGGACTGCTGTATGTGTGGATCGCGTAGTGTGATGTTTGTTACTCTCTTCTGCCCTCCCATGTGGCTACAACTGTACTGCCTTCTATTCAGTTTTCATCACCATCTTATGGAGAACTGGAAGGACTTCAATGGATCTTCACGCCTCTCTATCGCTCTCTCTGCTCGCTTCCCTCTTAATTCTGCCTTGCAAACAGCAATTTTCAACGCAAGTGTTTAAAAAGCAACTGGAATTTGGGGGACAGAGAATTACTGTGCTGATTTAAAAGTCCCCATTCACCTCCAAAACATCACGTGAATTGTGGACTAAAACTGTGAAGGATGGGGTTGGGTTCGGGAGTGGGGTATATTTCACCTCTTGAGTTACAGTTTGGTGGTGCGGTGGGGGTGACGCAATAGCATGTTGTATCTGCTTTGTTTTTCTTGTTGAGGTGTTCTTCGGGCTGGGTCTGTATGGTATAGGGAGGGTTTCAGTATACCATGCAGGGCGTTGATGAAAGGAATACTGTACCCGAGATCCAAGTTCTTCTCTTTTGCATTTTTCTGATTACGAAGTCCCTAAATGGGGGTTTTTGTTTAGGTAATTGGGTGGCGTCTAGTGCAGAAACACAATTTGAAAGGTAGTTTTGGAAACAATGATGCGCTTGCCTGGCACTGGGGGACTTGTACAATAGTTACATGTGCCACTGAGATTACAGAGTAGGCCAGAGTTTACTGTCAACACCATGTGTGCATGTTTTCTCAGTGAACACCATCATCCAATAGATCTGCATGATAGTAAGTTAACTGCGTCATGTGTTTTTTGTCCAGGCAGGTTGTTGTGTACTCAGAAGGTAGGCTCATTTGCATTTCCCTTTCACAAGGAATCTGTGTTGTCTTCCCGCGTCCACACCATTGCTAGTTCGATTCTTTAGCACTCTTACAACTGGTACGCTTGTCACCGTCAACAGTACGGCAAATCTTAGAGGAGATCCAGTGTGAGGTGGGGAGATTCGAAGTTACGAATGGAGGGTGCTGACTTGGAGGAAAGTGCTCACTCCTTTTGGATTTGTTTGTCTGTAGTGCGAGGATCTCTACTTCTTTGGTACTTGCGGGATCTTGCCTTGATTCGGGAAGGAATCTCCAGTCAGTGTTCGAAGGATGTGTGGAAATTTCGTCAGGTCTTTTCTGTGGGACAATGGGGTACGTTGTCGTGCACTGAAAACTGTAGGGGCGGCGGAGTGATTGAAAGGGAAGTGAGAAAACGCTTCTAACCTTTAGTCCCTATCTTATTAGCAGTTCGTTAGTCCATTATCTGATGTTGTTAGTTGGTGTCTAGCTACTCATTGTGTGCCCCATAGCCGTCAACAATAGTCAGACTTTCTTCACCATAATTATGACACTAGTTATTTTATGACCGAGATTAGTATGATGAGTGATGACTAAACACTGTAACGATTTGCTATAAGTGAATAAGGATAAAGGCAAGGGAGCCTATGACCACTGAATGCCATTATCATTGTAAGAAAAACCAAAACATCCAAACCAAGAGCACCGGGCCAGCTACAGTGGTCTCATGCGAGTTCCCGAGACACTCTCTGATCTGGAAGCAGTAAGG